TATACATATCCGCCCCCCCCCTGCCCCACACACGGTTGTTTGCCTTTTACTCTCTTAATGGTGTCTATGTCTTAAATTTAATGACATCCATTTATCAGCCTTTCCCTTTGGTACATTTTGCATCCTTATATTTTCCTATCCCAAGGTCATAATACCCTGCTGTTATTTTCTATAGTTGTATTTTTCATATTCAGGTCTACAATACATCTTGAATTGATTTTCTTTTTTCTTTTGGTATGAGGTAGGCATCAAGATTCTTCTCTCCCCTCTCCCCACATATCCAGTCGACATCCTATTGATGTAGTACTATTTATTAAAAAGAAGTTTCCTATTGCATTATAATGGCTCCTTTGTGCGGGGAAAAATGTGACTACATACCTGTTAGTCTGTTTCTGGCCTCTTTCATTGTTAAAAACGAACGAGCCCAAAATTGTGTCACTTGTACTAAGCAAACCAAGCCTTAACACCTAACTGTAGTTACAACTTTCCCCAGGAATGTAGTCTTAACTGGTCAGTGTGGAATTTTCTAGTCAGCATCAATAAGGCAAACCTTTCTATCCCCCAAAGATGAGGTAATCTGCCACAAAGACCCCTTTCATCCCCCACAAATAGGTTACCTAAAGCTGAATTTTTTAATGACTTTCTTGTCTTGCCTTTAAAAACTTTTCCTTTTCTGTAGCCTTTTGGGGGGTCCTTTCTTTTCTTTTTTTAAAATTAATTAATTATTTTAATTTTTAACATTTTATTTTTTTTACTTTTTCCCCCTCTCCCCTGGAGCTCCTTTCCGAGCTAGGTAAGATGCTGCCCCATTCATTAATCACTTAAATCTAATCGGATCTTCACATTTACTCCATTTTTTGACACCATTTGATACTTTTATTTATCTTTGCGCTAATATGCTATTTTAATTACTATGGCCTGCTAATAAGTCGTGATAACCGCAACCACACATTCTCCAACTTTGTTCCCTATCCCCACCCCAACAAGTGCGCAGAACCCAAAACAAACCATGGCTTCTCCAGTTTCCTTCCGGAAGATGGAAGAAAGACGCTTCAGATCTCGGAGCCTTGCGTATCCTACAGGCGCTTTGAGGGCAGCAGATCCGACACGCATGCGCAGGCTAAAGGCTGGGATTGGACGGAGCCGGGCGAGGGGCGTTCACATCATTTCCGAGGCGGGAGGGTGAAGTTGATTGACCATGGTCTCTGCGGCCACCAGGTAGGGGCTAGGGAGGGAGGAATCTCGGTGGCTAGGGGTGTGGGGTTCCGCCCAGAGCTTGAGGCATGTGGGCGTATCCCGAGTCCAGTGCATTCCTGGCGCGGGGAGAGAAGAGGGTGTAGAGGCGGAGCGGAGGCCGCGGACTTTGAGGTGCGCGCAGCGTCCCTGGGCCGGCTTCCGGCTGCCTGTGGCCCTAAAGGGAGACTCGGCCCGGGCGCTTACACTAGAATCTAGTCAGGCGTTTTCTCGCTGTGGGCATCTTGCACCTTCGTTGAGCTCTCAGAGTCTGGATTTGCGCTGCTGGAAACGCGTGTAGTGAGGTGACGGACCCGCCCACGTCTCGAAGAGGGCGAAAAGTGTGCTCCCAGCTCCAACCTTTTCATTCTGTACCAAAGGACGGCAGTCCCAAAGTGTGTGCGGGTGGCATCACCAAGGCTCAAGCACTGGAGGCTGGTTGCTGTTTAGCTCGGTGTTAGGATTAGCAAGAGAGATTGACGTTTTTCAGAAGGCAGGGGAGAGTGCTGACTCTTGAGCACCCACAGAAATGGCTATTTTAAATGCTTTATTCCTTCGATCCTTGGTCTGTCGCTTTCCTGCTGTGCAACTTTGGGCACATGTCTTAAATCTTACCTCCTGTGTCCGCAACTGTAACTTTGGAAACAGTACGCCCACTCATAAAGTTGTTGTGAAATGTAAATGATATTGTACATGGAAAGTAGTCAGCTAGTGTCTGGCACGTAGTAGTTAAATGGTATCTGTAGGGATTTTCGTTTTTGAGAAGTTACTTTTGAAGTAACTTCTAGGCTTCGAATACACATATGTTTAAATTAACATAATACTTGCTTCTCTTAGTGGAATTGCCAGAAAGTGCTTTTCACATCTTCCAAACTTGTATTGGGGGAAATAAAGAGGAAGTCAGTTTCTAGAAAACTGGCGGATGGAAAAGGGATTCTTAGCTTGATGATACAGAGAATTAGCAAAAATTATCTAATTCTTCAGAGGGGCAGGGAGGTACTAACTTCTTTGAGTACCCACCAGAATGTCTGTTTTAGATATCTCTTGTACTCCTCACTACAACTGAGTAAAGTGGGTGGTATCACCATACATTTTCAGCAGAGTTATGGAAGCCGAGATTAGCCCCTAGCAAATAAGAGGGAAAACAGGCTTTTAGAACTAGGTGTCTGTGTAAAACCTACTTATTCTAGTACAGGAAGCTGACTTTGTAGAGGTTCTTGTTAAAGAAGTTATATTTAAAAGGTAATCTTCCATAATATAGCTTAACATACAGAGGTCCCCCTACTTTTCCCTAAGGTAATTATGCTTTTTATTTCTCTTAAAGCTTATGATGGGAGGGAATGACGATGGAAGAAAGGGTAGGGTTGTCACTGGGCCTTGGTCAGGAGTGACTAGTAAGACTGAGTGCTTCTTGCTGGGATTCCCAAAAGCAATGTGGTGGGGTTTACAGATTAATAGTTGATTGACGCTTACGTAGTCCTAACAGGGCTTGCTTTAAAGGAGGCATTATAAAAATGTGTTTTGCTAAATTAATCTTTTTTAGGAAAGAGAGGAACACATGATTTATTGCTTTGCAACATTTGGAACTTCTTTGGGATCATATATTTTATTCCAATACCTTGGCTAATGAAGTAAGTGGTGATTTCTTTTATTGTAGAAAACACAGACTCTGAAGAAAACATTTGTGTTGTTGTTAGGGTCTTTGTTGTACTCTTTTTTTCTGGGTTGTAGATTGATTAGGGATCTGGTAGAAACACTAGAACAATAATTGCCATATGCTCATATTTGGCATGTAGCCAATAAGGAAGTACTGTTTTAATTTCATTTTTATAGCTAAAGACATTGAGGCTTGGAGAAATTTGACAATATGTCCAAAGTTGAAAAGTCTTAGAGGACAGAAAGTTAAAGGGGGTGTATTGGGGCATGTAGAATGTACCAGGAAGTGGGAAGGAGGTTACCCTGGGATGATAGAAAACATTTGACTGAAGGGATTTTTTTTTCTCATTAAGGCATGGAGTTTCCTACTGGGAGGGAAGGGCAGGTGTCTTAAAGGCAAAAGCCTGTTGTTTATCTGCATATCCTGGGCTAAAGTCAGCACAGGTGAATTGAGATCCTGTAAGTTTTGAAGCCGTCTGGAACCCTGCTACCCTGAAGTAATAGATTCCTGATGTGCTTTGCTTTAAAGAAATCAGGAGTTTGCAAGGTATATAAATACATGATCACTTCACATTCAAAAAGATTCTTGGCTTTATAAACAGATCTGTTTCAGGGTTCTTTAGATGATGTATTCCTATAGTATACTTAAAATATTTGTTTTATTCAGTAACTATTTGTTTGCATAAAAGGAGCTCTGTTTATGTCTTAATCAAGAGCATGAGATGTGCCTTCCTTACCATATACACTCTTCTTTGTATCCATTCTTTAAGAATAATAACAGTTAATATTCATTGTTATGGTAAGCATTTTATTGGATTATTCAATACTCACAATAATTCTGTAAAATAGAAACAATCATTTTCATTTATAGAAAAAATGAGCTCAGAAAGGATAAGAAATTTATCTAAAGGCACAGAGCTAGTAAGGGCAAAGCCAATTCCATGTCACTCGAAAATCTACTTATCTATGTATTTCATTCATTCCTTCATTTAACAGATATTTATTGAACACCTACTGTGTACTAACAGTGTGCTAGGTGTTGGGGATACAATGATGGCCAAAATATAAACAGCCCCTGGCCTCAAGTTGCTTATAAGTACAGCAAAGAAGATAGACAGTAAATAGAGAATCACAAACTAAATATTAATTACTTTTGTGGTACCTGCTATGGACAATAGTAGAGGGTGCTGTGAGAATCATTTGGCACAGGGAGGGAGTGAGTAGAGACAGAAAAGGCTTTCCTGAGGGAAAAATATTTAACTGAGACCTTAAGGACTAAGATGGAGTTAAATTGGGCAAAGAGAAGGGTGAAGAGCTACAAGGGAGATGGAAGGACAAGCATGAAACCTCAGGAATAGGAGGAGCTTGTATCTAGCGTTACTGAAAGACCTGTGTAGCCCAAGGGTGGAGAATGTCACAAAGTCAGATTCAAAATATAGGTAAGGATCTTATCCTCAGGGCAATACTGTTCCCCAGTCTTGGTTTATTTGCTTCTTGGAACATATAATCAACTCCACAAACCATATCAGTTTTCCAGCTCTGTTTGGAGTCCAACCTCTTTCTTCAAACACATGGTTAGACCTCTAGTTGCCCACAGGACGAGGATAGGGGATTGAGACTTAATCAGAATTGGTAATTTGACTACAAAGCTAATAGACATGTTGTACCAATATTGTTTTTCATCATATTTGTCTCTGGTGTGCAAAATGATTTAACAAATATTCTTTAGTCTCATTATGGTCCAAGTCTCTGTTAACCACCTAGGATACAAACATGTATAAAGACACTGTTTCTTTCTACCATGCATCATTTAGTTAATCATTTATTTGCCTTCCACTTAAGAGACTATTCTGTTAACCCTATGATACAAACATGTATAAAGACTCTCTTTCTTTCTACCATGCATCATTTAGTTAATCATTTATTTGCCTTCCACTTAAGAGACTATAATTGTTTTATCAATATTATTCTTCAAAATAAATTTCTTTAGCATCTATTATGTGCTAAGCACTGTTTTAGGAATCTAGTGTCAGCAAATAGGCATGGGCTCTGTCCTTACGGAGCTTAAGCTCCCAGTTGGGGCTGGAGGACACAGAGGGAGGGTGAAAGTCAGGGAGGTGAAGTGGGAGAGGTAGGCGGGAGTCAGACCATGCAGACCTTATAGGTCATGCCAAGGATTTGGGGCTTATCCTAAAAATGGTAGGAAACCACTGAGTTTCAGTCAGGGGAGTAGCACCAGCAGATCTGTGTTTATAAAAATTCACTCTGGCTCCTCAGAGAAGGCAGAAGTTGATAAATTTGAAGGATATTTAGGAGGTAGAATCAATGGGGCTTAGTAATTAATAGGTTCACTCTGGGGTGAGAAGTGAGAGGGAGGTGTCTGGGCTAATTCTTGGTTTTCTGGCTTGTGCATCTGAGATAAGAAGCCCTAGAGGAAGAATGTGAGTTCAGTTTTGAATAAAATGTCTCTGAAGTAATACAATTAGAGGTGTCACAAAGGCAATGATATAGAAGGATCTAACACTCAGACAACAAGCATTGGCTAAGTCTCTATAAAGCTCTTGTCAGGGAGTAATATTTTCCCTGTTATTGAGGGAGCCATCAAGGCAAAAAGGTAACAGTGGAGTGGCCCAGTAGAAAGTGTAGAAAGTTCTCCACACTTATGTGGGGAAAATATTAATAAAATCTTCTGCCAACCTAGAAAATCGTCTCTACAAATGTAGGAAAAAAAGAAAATAGTTCTATTATTGAATAAACATTAACCCAGACTGGGATGCATCATAGGTAATCTGCTAATGAGATTACAAAAACAAAAAGTAACCTGTTACATACTTAGTTTCAAGATTAATGGTAATTTGTCCTCGTGTAAGAAGACTTGACAGCACCATCTGCTATATATGTTTTCATAATGTACCTTAAATTCACCTGGTAATGGGGGTGACCATCTGTGCTAGTTAATTGCCTTTATCTAAAGGAAAAATAGAATATCTCTAATCCACATGAGCAAGTAGTCATGGTGTTAGGCTAACCTCCCAGGGTGACAGGGAGTTGGGGTGCTTTCTTGATATTTAAGTTGAAAAGAGATAGCTCTTAGGCCCTTCAGAAAAAAATTACTGGATTTTACCAATAGCTAGAGCTAGTTTATTTAGCATTTAAAAAGATTTGCTTACATACCAAAGAGACAGAAGAAGGAATTACAAATACTAGGTTTTTCAAAGAAATGCTCTAAGACAGGGAGAAAAAAAAAAGTCTCTTTTTCTCTTTGGTAATAGGGAAAATTCAAGTTTTAAAATTTACGTATAGTGTGGTAAAGTGTCGGACTGTAGCATGCCCAGCATAGGGATTATCCTGGAGATGATTTTTAAGTGAGTTCCACATAATCATGTATGGCTAGGAAGCCCTCAAGTGGTCAGATCTACCCCATAATTTTCTTGTGCATTGATTTAAAGAAAAATGTTACCAGTAGTTTCAGATCCTGCTGGTTTCCAGCCAAAACTCTCATCTCTGGTAGTTAACCTTTCCAGGACTTGTCTTGTTCTCCTGAATGATTGTCAATGATGTCATTTCTCACACCTACACATTTATACACATGAGAACTTTCTTTGCTTGGTAATTTTGTGATTTAATGGAGAAACGAACTCTCCATTAACTTGTTTTGGAATGCCATAAGCATGGGAATGAGAATTGAGATTGAATGGCATGTAAATTTAGCTTGGAAGCTTTTTGTCACCCACCAAGATAAGAAGTTCAACAAATTCCTTTGGGTTCTGAGCTCTCTTTCCCATCTTCTTAAGTTCATGGTCACCTGAGACTTGGACACTAAACTGCTTAGCGGAGGGAGAGGTCTTGTTGATGGCAACTAAATTAGTTGAACATTGCTTACCAATAGTTAGAGCTTCCTTGCTGTTGTTAGCTCTTATTTAATTAAGTAAGGACATGTTTGTACTAGGAACTCTTAAGTTTTTAAGGGAAATGTAAATTTTTTCAGGTTTATGTGAGTAGTACTTAGCTGTCGTTACATTGGAAATTAGTAAACTATTATTTCAAAATTCTCTATGAGTATGGTATTAAAATCCAGACAGGCTTAAAATATTAGCTACTAAGTCAAGGAAATTGTACTGAGTTCCTGTTAAGCCGTTAGCTTTTTTACATTTAGTTCTTTCTGTTTGGGTGATTAGAACTAAGTTTAGGGATCTCTTCATCTCCTAGACAATATTAGAATCCTTCCTGTTTAAGGCTCCAACTAAGGATTATTATTATTTTTTTTACACGACCCCCCGATTTGATGCATTTAAGAGTTAAGAATGTGGGCTTTAGAGTCGGAATATGTGGTTCAAATCTCTATTTTGCCATTCGCTAGCTATGTGACTTCAGATGCTTTTCTCATTTAGCAAATGGAAATAACTATCATATCTACCTCACGAGATTGCAGTGAAGGTAAAATGAGATCATAGCTATGACGTAGGCAATGTCTTGGCACATTGCAAATGCTAAAAAAGGTAGTAATTGTTATTAATATTTTTCTTTCCACAATAGCTATATATGGTAACAGGCTAAAAATTACTTTTTTTTAGTATGCTTTAGAATTTGTCATAATATCATTTCAATCAATTAATTGTCATATATGTTAGAAAGTAATGAAATAGGCAAAACATTAATTATATTAGAAATAAAAATTTACTTCTGGTTTGAAGAGTTGGCATATATAGTACTTTCTACTGCATTTAGAGGAATGAAGGATTGTCACATGAGATCTCATAGCATTCTGTAATATATATAAAGCACATTTCCTCTTTTCCTATCAGTTGCCAGGCCTTTACAGTGTGTGAGCTTTTTCTCTTATCTTAACCTGGAGATGTACAAATTATGACAGTCAAATAGTGGTTTTACATACCTGTGTGTACACCTCCCAAGGGCTCAATCCAGCAGCTTGCACAAAAGAGTTGTAGGTTTTGCTGGCTGCTGACTCTTTGGA